GACGGTGGCCGCGGGTGAATACGGCGGTGCGATCGTGACGTGAGGAAACCGTGATCGCGGCTTTCTCCGCAAACTCTGGAGACCTCCAGAAGCTTCTGGAGACCTCCGCGGGCCTCCCGAGACCTCCAGAGACCCGTGGGCCACCTCCAGAGACAGAGGGGCAATGCGAAGGCCGCTCATGGCAAGAGAATTCGCCGAGAATTCGAGCAGCAAGGCAGGGCCTGGCCGGGCGGGCTGAGCTCGGCGGTTGGGCTGGGCACGCAGGGTTCCAGAAGGCGCGTCGGCCAAACAGGTTGGCCGAGATGTCGAGGTGAGCTGCGCGCACTCGGCAGGGCCGTCGCTGGAGTCATCCTCGCAATCGGTGGGGAAGGGGAAACGGAGGGTGCCGAAGGCGACGGCGAGAGGAGGAGGAGGATCAGGAGGAGGAGGAGGAGGAGGAGGAGGAATACTGATCGAGCATGCAGCCACTGCGCCGACTTCCTCTCGCCTAGGCCACCCGCGGGGGCGCGAAGAGAATCGCGCTTCGCGCGTCGCGGTGCCCTCTTCTTTTGTTATCCCCGGGGGGCAGAGGGCACAGGGGAGGGGGGGGGAGGGGGGGGGGAGCAGGGACGCCTGCGGCTCGCCCTCGTCCTCGTCTTCCTGCTCCTCCTCGTCCTCCTGCTCCCTGCCCCTTTCTCCGCCCGCTCGCCCTCCTCGCGCGGAGCCGAGCAGGTCCGTGACCTCGCCGAGCCATGCAGCGAAGCCGAGCTCACTCCCGAGAGGCGGGAGCGTCTTGGCAGGCTCTCCAGGGGATCCGAGGCCCAGGCAGTGGTGTGGGGGTGCTCCTACCGTGACAGCTTCGCGTCTGCTCCGATTCCGAATCCTGCCCGCGCGGTCGCCCCGCTGCCGACGGGGGCCGCGCGTCAGTGCCCCACCCCCCGCGGGGAAGCCCGGGGGCGCCCCTCTCCGTGGGCAGCCCGGGAGCCTCGCCTCGCGATCGCCTCGCCGCCGACGCCGTGCCGCGCGCCACTGCTCCTCCCCCCACCGCCCCGCGGGAAGCCCAGCAGAGCCCATCTCGATCCGATCGACCCGATCCGATGTGGACTCTGGCCGGCTCGCTCCGAGCCGATGCCGATCTCCCGACGATCCGATGCGGCCCGGTCAAAGCCGGTCCCCCGGGACGGGGTCCAGACCTCCAGGGGGCACGTCATGCACAAGTCATGGCGGCGGGGGTCTGGGACGCTCGCCTGGCATTGTTGGTGCATCCTGGCGCGGCCGGTGCGATTGGATCCCCACTCCGTGCCGATGCGGCCCGATCCGACGCAGGTTCCGATCCGATCCGGTTTCCCGATTCGATGCTGACCTTGGCTGCCTTGATGTGCTCGTCTTGAAACGCAACGCCTGCCGTGTTCAAAACGTCCGTGTCAACACACTGCGTGTTGGCTCCACGTGTTGGCCCACGTTCTGGCGAAAGCATCGCACCAAGCGTACATACGTTTTCAATCTACGTGTTGAGCACCGTGTCAACACGCTACGGGCTGCGTGTTGCGTATCGGGGCGGCTACGATGCTGACTGATCCTGCCCAGGGGTGCCCCACCATGGGCAGCGGGGGCCTCGCTCACGCCGACTGGCTGCTGAGGCCGGGGCCGGGGAGGGGGCGCGCCGGTGTCGGGAGGAGGGAGGCGGGGAGGTTCGAGGATCTTGGAGCTGGCAGGGGGTCCGAGGCGGCCCAGCACCGGTTCTGGCCAGCAGGAAAGGGGGGGAGGTGTAAAACGACGCGAAGATTGGGACAAAATCGGATCGGGATAACTCGAAATCTCTGAGAATCGGCGGGTTTGGAGGATGTATTGGGCGCCGCGGCCGCTCCAGAGCGTTCCGGAACGCTCTGAGAGCGCTCCGGAACGCTCTGGAGCGATTTATCCCGATCCTAGCCCTGTTTTCAGGTTGGAGCCGCTGGGTTCGGAAAGGTCGTTTGCCCTCTTCGCGCTCTGGGGGCAGTCTTCGGGCCCCGGGGCCGTCAAAAACGGAATCTGGCTGAAAAATTGGGTCTGGGGTGCAAAGCAGGCCTGGTGGATGTCAGCGCTCTGTCTTTCCACCTCCTGCCTCCATCGCTGCTTTTCGTCGTCTTCCTCATCCTTCTCGTCCTTCTCCTCCTTTCCCCTCGTCGCCTGCTCCTCCTTCGTCTCATCCTTCTCCTACTCTTCCATCGTCTCCTCCTTCGCCTCTTCCGTCGCTTCCTCTTTCTCGAGGAGTGCCAGGACATGTTTTGAACGCCTTCAGAAAACAATGATCAACAAAATGTATTGGTGGCAGAAGAGTTGGGAAAACTCTGAGGGAAACATGGGAAAATATCCAAACGACAGCCCCAACGTCCGATGAGCGACCCCGCTGTGAGGCGGAACCCATACGGGTGTCAGAAATTTGGGAGCACCCTCATTAATCATAAAACGAACACTGGTATCCAACGCGTTGGTGGCAGAAACTTGGAACACTCCCGGATATGTGTGCGCATACATACAACAACAACAACAACAACAACAACAACAACAACAACAGCAGCAGCAGCAGCAGCAGCAACAACAACAACCACAACACCAACAACTACAACCACAACCACAACCACAACCACAACAACAACCATAACAACAACAGCAACAACAACAGCAACAACAACATCAACATCAACATCAACAACACCAGCAGCAGCAACAACAACAACAACCACAACTACAAAAGCAGAAGAATTAGTCCAACGACAGTTCGAACTTCCGAAGGGTGACCCCGCATTATCTGTGGATGTGTTGTGCTTTGTTGGTGTGTTGTTTTCCTTAGGGTTGTCCGAACGTTTCTGCCACCAGCACGTCAGTTTCTGTGCTTGTTTGGGTGTTTGGTCCTCATCTTCTTTGTTTTCCAGCGCCATGCTCATCCTCCTTTCCTTCCTTCTCACGCGGAGTGAGAGGAGAAGGAGGAGGAGGAGGAGAAGGAGGAGTGAGGTGGAGGAGTGAGGAGGAGGAGGGGGGAGGAGGAGGCGGATGGCGCTGGAACGCGAACAAAAACAAAGGGCAAACAATCCAAACAAAGAAATTGAAGTGTTGGCGGCAGAAACTGTCGGAAAACCTGTGGGAACATAGAATAATAAGAAAAATAAGCTTCCACAGAGAAAGCGGGGTGTTCATTCTGACGTTTCTCTTCGGACTGTTTCCCTTGAGATCTTTGGTTGTTTGTTCTTTGGTAGTTCTCCCGTGCTTGTTCGTTTCTGCCGCCGGCACTTAAAGTCGATGCGTGTTGTTGTGTTGTTCTTTGTGGGATTGGTTTTCCCATGCCATCCTCCTCCTCCTTCTCCCCCTCCTCCTCCTCCTCCTTCTCCTCCTCCTCCTACTCCTCCTCCTCCTACTCCTCCTCACTCCTCCTCCTCCTCCTCCTTATACACCTCCTCCTCCTACTCCTCCTATTCCTCCTCCTCCCCGTCCTCCTCCTCCTCCTCCTCCTCCTCCTCCTCCTCCTCCTGCTCCTGCTCCTGCTCCTCCTCCTCATCATCATCATCATCCTCATCCTCCTCCTCCTCCACCTCCTCCACCTCCTCCACCTCCTCCGTCCTCCGTCCTCCTCCTCCTCCTGCTCCTGCTCTCACTCCCCTCACTCCTCGCGAGGAGGAGGGAAGTGATTAATGTTGAGGAGGAGACCTGCAGGAGGAGGAAGGCGGAGTGGAGCAGAGGAGGAAGGAGGAGTGGAACCGAGTTGGAAAAGCAGGAAGCCCAAGAGAATCGTCTGGGCAAAAAGTCGCGGCTGGTGAAAGAGGAGTGAGAGGAGAGTGAGTGAGAAAGACAGCGACAGAGAAAAAGAAAGATTGATATAGAGAGACAGACAGACTTCAAAAAGAGACCCCTAGAGAGAAATAGAGAAAGAGGGAAAGCGAAGGAGGATCGAGGTTTTCTGATGTTCTAGGCCCACTCTTGGGCTCCTGGGGGCCTCTGCGGTCGGAAACGTTGGGGTAGCATGTCACTCCGCCTGTTATGGCCCACGCTTCGGCGCGACACGTTATCCATTTCCTGGTACCGAGGCGTCAACGTCCCGAGCTTTTCCCGACCTCCCGCCCCGTGGAGCGGAGCGACACGTTACCGGCTTGCAGGGCGTAGCGTGTGGCGGCGGCGGCGCAAAATTCCCGACCGTATTGCAGCCGATCATCAGATCAAGAAACCTCCTCCGAAAGTGGTGGCCCAGCGTTTCTTGACCACCCTGCAGGAGAGCTGGCCCGGTTTCTTGAGCGCGTTCGCCCCTTCAGCGTGAGAAGAACATGTTGGCCCAGGCTCGTTTTTTTATTAATTTCGGGATGTTGGCCCAGGTTTCTGAAACGACGATCTTATTGATCCTTTCTTCGGCTGCAGGAGGCCTCGGGGAGACCTCCAGAGGCCCCGCAAGACAGGAGGGCGGGGAGGCGGAGGACGAGGACGGGGAGAAGAGGAGGACGAGCGATGCGGCGCAAGAAGGTCGTCCTCCTTCTCCTCCTCCTCCTTCTCCTCCTCCTCCTCCGCGGGCGGGGCCCCGGGGGTCCCCGAGTCCGATGGGACCCCCGGGGCACTCGGCGAGCGCGCCCTGCGGACCGGCGCCCGCGCCGGCCGCGGGGGGCCCTGGGAGGGCCCCCCGTGCACGGGCCCCCTCAGCCGGTCGGTGGCGGGGGCGGCGGCGAGGCAGCGGCGGGGGCGGCAGCGGGGGCGGCGGCCCGGGCTGTCTCCTCTTCCTCCTCCTCGGCGCTCCCGGGGCTCCGCGGCCGCAGCCTGCGTCTCCTCGCCCTCTGTTTCCTCCTCCTCTTCCTCTCCGCGTGCTCCTCCTCCTCCACCTCCTCCTCAGCGCTCCCTCGCCGCCAGCCTCGGCCTTCTGCTCCTGCGCCCCGTCGGTGCTCTCACCCCGGGGGTGCCTCGGTCTCCTCTCCGTCCGGCCTCTCCTGGCCCCTCGCCGCCCTCAGCCTCCTCCTCCTCCTCCTCCTCCTCCTCCTCCTCCTCCCTCCTCCTCCTCCTCCTCCTCCTCCTCCTCCTCCTCCTCCTCCTCGTGCTCCTCCTCCTTCTCGTCCCGCGCAGGCGTCGCGCTTCGCGCGGCGGGGGGAGGCCGTGCGGTTCGTGCTGCTCGGGGCCCCGCGAAATCGGGGGCGCAGGGCCCCGAGCAGGAGCAACGACAGGGAGGGGGGATAGGCGTCGGGGGGATGCATCAACCCCCAATCGCCCATTGATCACCGAGAGGGGCCCGACAGCCCCAACCCGCTCGAGGTTCGAGGTTCGAGGCTTTTGGGCGTTTTCGTCGGTTCTCGGCGGCTTTGCAGCCTCGCGGTGCCTTCCAGCGGCTGCGCCTCGCCGAGGGCGTTCCAGGGGTGCCCGGATCATCCCGAACGGCCGCCGAAGTCCCGAGTTATGCCCCGGAAGGCACCAGGGGACAGGGTCAGGGGGGTCATCGGTCCCAAATCGCCCATTGATCGCGGATACGGGACCCAAAAGCTCCAACCTGCTCAGGGGCGTATAGATTCGCTATCGGGGGCCTATCGCCGATCTAACGGCGATATATCGCCGATTCCAGGTCGATGTGTCCCCCTTATGCTTATTCCCCCTCGATCGCTGCCCCTCACCAGGGAAAGCGAGGCAGAGGCCAGGAGGCGAGAGGTCGAGGGAAGAAACACGCCGACTATGGCCAAGGTGTCGCAGGATCTTGTCGTTGCCGATCCTGGTCATGGTGCATGCCGGCCGTCGCCGATTCACGAGGATGACCTCCGAATTGACGCTGACCAATATGTATTGTGACCAAGATCGGCACGACGGTTCCACGTTCAGTCTTGTTCGTGGTCCCTGTTTGTCTTCCTCTCCATGAGGAGGGGTTGGGAGGGGAGGAGCGGCCGTGCTCTATCGAAGACGCCTACGGCGAATCACCGCTGCCCCCTGCCTTTTGGGATCGCCCATCTGGCCGAGCGTTGTGACAGCTATCGGACCATGTGCCCCCCCAGCCGTTGTGGAAACCCTTCAGGGAACACTTCGGGGAGGATGGCGGGGAAAATCAGGACGAGGAGAAGAAGGGGTATCTTGGGAGCCTCCGGGGGCACTCTTGGGGCCTCCTGGGAGCTTCCTGGGAGCCTATTGGAGGCATCTTGGGGGCCTCCTCTTGGGGGCCTTTGGGGGCTTCTCGGGAGCCTCTTTGGCCGTCTTAGGGCATTCCTGGCCCGTGTGACGCCGTCGGAAGCCGTCTTGGGGGCCTCTCTGGGCCGACCTGGGATCATCTTCGGGTGCTCCGGGGCCGTCTTGAATGCCAGCCTCTTGGGCCATCTTGGGGGCCTCTTGGGACGTTGTGGGGCCATCTTGGAGGCCTCTTGGACGATCTTGGGGCGATCTTTGGTGGCTTTTGGGCCGTCTCGGGCCGCTGGAAGGCCGAAAAGAAGCAAATGCCAAAGTCCGTCGATGATGCCAAAACCTAAAAGAAATCAATGATGTTGGGCTCGTCTGGCCTTCCTGGAGGTCCTCTTGCAGGCCTCTTGCAGGCCTCTTGGGCCGTGGAGACCTCCTGGGGGCCCCTTGGGTCGTCCTGGGCCATCTTGGAGCCATCTTGGGCCGTCTTGGTGGGCTCATGGCCCGTCTGACGCCGTCGGAAGCAGTCTTGGGGGCCTCTCTAGGCCGACTTGGGGCCCTCTTGGGGTGCTCCAGGGCCGTCTAGGAAGCCTCTTGGGCCGTTCTAGGACCATCTTGGAGGCCTCTTGGGCGATCTTGGGGCGATCTTTGGGGGCTCTTGGGCCGTCTTGGGCCGTCGGAAGGCCGAAAAGAAGCAATTGCCAAAAATTCTCGAAAACCTAAGGAAAATCTATGATACTGGCTTTTTCGGGTCTTCCTGGAGGTCCTCTTGTAGGCCTTTTGGGCCGTGGAGACCTTCTGGGGGCCTCTTGGGTCATCTTGGAGCCACCACGTCTTGGGGGCTTCTCTAGGCCGACTTGGGGCCCTCTTGGGGCCGTCTTGGGGGCCTCTTGGGCCGTTATGGGGCCATCTTGGAGGCATCTTGGGCAATCTTGGTGCGATATTTGGGGGCTCTTGGGCCGTCGGAAGGCCGAAAAGAAGGCCGAAAAGAAGCAAATGCCAGAATCCGCCAAAACCTAAGGAATATCAATGATGGTGGCCTCTTCAGGTCTTCCTGGAGGCCCTCTTAGAGGCCTCTTGGGCCGTCTTGAAGACTACTTGGGGGCCTATTGGGCCGTCTTGGGCCGTCTTGGAGGCCTCTTGGGCAAACTTGAAGTCATCTTGGACGCTCTTGGGCCGACGTGGAGGGCATCTTGGGCGAATTTGAAGGCCGTCTGGGAGGCCATCTTGACCCATCTTGGAGCCATCTGGAGCGGGAAAACCGTTTGCAGCCACTTCTGGAAGAGCCTTCCCGGTGGCCGGCGCGTTGGGCCGAAGCCGCAGGGGGGATCTTTTGGAAAAGAGCCAAAACCAAGCCGAGCATAGGGTCTAGCACGCCAGGCGCCCCTGTGGCAAGCCAACAAGGATTTTGAAACCTCTCGGGGGCCGTTTTGGGGCCTCTTGGGGCGTCTTTGGGGCCTCTTGGAGGTTTATTGGTGCCTCTTGTGGGCCTCTCGGGGCCGCATTGGGCTCCTGGGTGCCTTTTGGGGCAAAAGACTTGGATGATTGGCTCGTGTTCCCCCTCTTGGGGCTGTCTTTGGGCCCTCTTGGGTCGTCTTGGGCACCTCTGGGGCCGTCTTGGAGCCCTCTTGGGCCGTGTTGGGGCCCTCCTAGGAGCCTCTTGGGCCGCTTTGGGGCGGTCCTGGAGGCCTCTTGTGCCGTCTGGGAGCGTGGGGAAGCCGAAAAGGCGAGAAGATGAAAGATTGTTCAAAACCAAAGGGAAATCAATGATGTTTGCCTCTTGGGGCCCTGTTGGAACCCTTCTTGGATCACTCTTGGGGCGTCTTGGGGGCCCCCTGGGCAGTGTTGCAGCCATCTTGGGCGTATTGGGGCGATCTTTCGACAACTCGGGGCCCTCTTGGGCCATATTGAAAGCCTCTTAGGGCCCTCTGGGCCCGCCCTGGGGCCTTGTCTGGCCGCGATAAGCCGCGAGGAACCCCAGTGAGAACGCGGGAAGCCCCAGGAGGCTTGGCAATTTGAGGTCTGTGCTTTTTGAGAACCCTCAGGGGCGAGGAGTGAAGCTTAGAGGATTAGGCAAAGGACCTGAGGACATGCCCACTCCGTGCCCAGCGGCACGGTGGCGGATTCCATCGGGGAAATGCAGGCATGGATTGAGGCGCGTGGATTGGCGACGGGTCCCGCTTCCACATAGAATTGGCGCTCTCCGTCGCAACATCTGGCGGCACTTGCTGTACGATTCTGGGAATGTCTTCCCCGAGCCGTAAGATCTGTCAAAGTGCTCCCGAAAACAAGGACCCAAAGCAGGAGGGCTACGAGCAAAGTTCGATCCAACGATGCTCAACGGCGGCATCAACTGAAGAGGTAGCGAGCGAGGAGGAGGACGAGAGCGAGGAGGACTGGGAAGAGAACGAGGAGGAAAAGGAAGAGAGTTGGGAGGAGGAGGAGGAGGAGGAGGAGGAGAACGATGGAGGAGAAGACGGAAGAGGAGAAGGAGAATGGAGCTGGAGAAGGAGATCGTCGAGGCCGCGAACGTGACAGCGGACGGCCCCCCGAGGCAGCTGGAGCCCAGCGCGGCCCCGGACAGCCTGCGGAAGCCCCGGCCCTGCCACAGGCTGGACGCAGGCCCCGCACGCCCCTTGTGGGCGCGGCCCCCACCGGCTCCGACGGGCGTCAGGAGGCTCTGCCCCCATGCCAACTCCGTCCTCCTCCATACCCGCTCCATACCCATCCCTCCTCCTCCTCCACCACCCCATCCTTCGACTACCTCCTCCTCCTCCTCCTCCTCCTGCTGCATCCTCCTCCTCCTCCTCCTCCTCCTCCTCCTCCTCCTCCTCCTCCTCCTCCTCCTTTCTCCTCCGCCCTCCGTCTCCTCCTCCTTTTCCTCCTCCTTTCTCTTCCCCCCTCCGCCTCAATCCTCTTGCATCCTCCTCCTCCTTTTCCTCCTCCTCCTCCTCCTCCTCCTCCTGCTCCCCCCCTCCCCCTCTTGAAGAATGGCTGTGGGGCCTTGATGTGCTAGCTGCCTCAAGTCTTGTGCTGGCGACAAAGGTGGTAGGCTGTGAAGGTTTCCCGCAGATGATATCCGATCTCCTGACGCAGTCACCCGAGCATGTTCATGTGCTGGCCTGCAGGCAGGTTGGAGATCTCCCCAAGCCTGTGTTGTTCTGCCTGTCGTTCGGGTATTATGCCCGGACGGGCTACACAAGCTGCTGTGTCGCTGCACTCGTCCGAAGACGGATAGCGAGCGTAGCAGTGCTGGTAGTACCGCTCTGAGGAGGTTGAGAAGAGCCTTGCACCCCAAACTCGAGGCTGCGGCTCCGCTCACGAAGGCCGAAGCGAGGGCACACGTCAGCGAGTCTCGGCCGCGGCAGACGCCCGCGTCAGCACGACCACTTACAGGCCTCGATGCCCTCCGAGCCAGGCAAAGGCCTAGCGGTCGTCACAAACCCGCTTAGGCTTCGACAAAAAAAAGATATTCCTCCCCCTCATCATCATCAGCATCATCATCAGCAGCATCAACATCAGCATCAGCATCATCATCATCCTCCTCATCCTCCTCCTGCTTCCCCTGTTGAGAGAGCGCGCTTTCCCGCCCCATGGTTCGATCCTCCCCTGCCCCCGCCAGAGGCACGTCAAGAAAGGGGAGTCTCTGCTTCCTGTTCTGTCTCGTCCTCCTTCTCCTCCTCCTCGTCCTCCTCCTCATCATCATCAAAATATGCATCAGCATCATCTTTATCAGCACCATCAGCATCAGCATCAACAGCATCAGCATCAGCAGCATCACCAGCATCCTTATCACAAGCAGCAGAAGCATCATCATCATCATCATCATCATCATCATCATCATCATCACCATCATCACCACCACCATCATCATCATCATCATCAACATCATCATCAGCTTCATCATCATCATCATCATCATCATCATCATCATCATCATCTCATCATCATCGTCATCATCCTCATCAGCATCAGCATCATCATCATCCTCATTATCATCATCATCATCATCAACATCATCATCATCAGCAGCATCAGCATCATCATCATCATCATCATCGTCATCATCTTCATCGTCTTCACCATCTTCATCATCTTAATAATGATCCCCCCCTTCTCCTCCTCCTCCTCCTGATCCTCCTCCCCCTCATTCTCCCGTTGGGAGAACGCGTTTCCCCGCTCCACGGGTCAATCTTCCCCTGCCTCCGCCATGGGCACATCAAGAAAGAGAATCCTCCTCCTTCTCCTCCTCCTCCTTATCATCCTCCTCCCTCTCCCCCTCCTCCTCCTCCTTCTTCTCCTCCTCCTCTTTAAAAAGAAGGATGGCTGTGGGGCCATCGATGTGCCAGCTGCCTCATGTTTTATGCTGGCGACAACGGTGCCAGACCAGAGGTAGGTTGTGAAGGTTTCCCGCAGATGAGATTCGATCTCCTGACGCAGTCTCCCGAGCATGTTCATGTGCTGGCCAGAACGCACGTTGGAGATCTCCCCAGGCCTTCGTTGTTTCTGCCTGCCGGGCGGGTACGATGCCCGGACAGGCTACACGAGCTGCTGTGCCGTTGCACCCGTCCGCAGACGGATAGCGAGCGCAGCAGTGTTGGCAGTACCGCTCTGAGGAGGTTGAGCAGAGGCTTGCACCCCAGACTCGACCTTCCTTCCTGTGCGGGGCCTCAGGCTCCGCTCACGAAGGCCGAGGCGAGAGCACACGTCTGCGAGTCTCGGCCGCGGCTGACGCCCGCGCCAGCACGACCGCTGGCAGGCCTCCATGCCCTCCCCGAGTGCGGCGAAGGGGGAGCAGGCAGAAGCCGAACGGTCGTCACAAACACGTTTAGGTTTCGGCCAACAAACATCCTCCTTCTCTTCCTCCTCCTGCTCCTCCTCCTCCTCCTCCTCCTCCTCCTCCTCCTCCCCCTCCTCTTCATTATTCCCCACCCTGCTTGGATAGCAGGGGCCCCGTCATCGACTCGGGGATAGCCGGGGCACCCCCGCCAGTGGAGCTGGTGGCGGTCGGCGCCGCCTGTATCGGCGGGGTAGAAGTGGAGCCGGCGACCAGCCGGAGGACTGGCGGAGGCGGGAGGCGTCGCCCCCCCGGGGGAGGGGGGTTGGCCGCGGTGGGACTGTGCCCCTTCCTTCCTCCTTTCTCCTGGCTCCTCCTTCCTCCCCCCTCTCCCTCTCCTCTTCTCTCCTCCCCCCGGGTGGGGCTGGGCCGGAGGAGACCGCGGCGGCGCGCGGAGCGCGCTGCCGCGGCGGGTGAGCGCGGAGCGCCCACTCCGTGCTGGAGCGCGGCCAGTGCTCGGCGCCAGAATCGCAGTGGTGGATTTTTCAGCTGCGAAGTTTTGAGGGGCCCTCTCGCCCAGGGAAAGCCTGGAATAAGGGTGGTTTCATTGTCGACGGCTGTGCTCTCGTGCTCATGGCACAGTTGAACGGCAAGCAAAATCCAAGCAAAATCCTCTTCATCATCATCAGCAGCATCAGCATCGTCGTCATCATCGCCATCATCATCATCATCATCATCATCATCATCATCATCCCCCTCCTCCTCCTCCCCCTCCCCCTCATCATCAGCATCATGATATTATTCCTCCTCCTCCTCCTCCTCCTCATCCCCCTCCTCATCGTCCTCCCCCTCCTCCTCCTCCTCCCCCCCCCTCCTCTTCCTGTTGAGAGCGCGCTTTCCCGCCCCACAGTTCGATCCCCCCCCGTCCACCTCCTCCTCATCCTCCTCCTCCTCCACCTCATCGTCCTCCTCCTCCTCCAGTTTATCCATCCCGCACCCTTACAAGTCTGAGGGCGCGTTGCTTAAGTCTGGACGTTTGATATGTGCGACGGTTGCAAGACTCGAGGGCATGTATTTTTTCTAATGGTGCGCTCGTTCCATCGCCGCGGACATGCGCAGTGAAAACTTGCAGCTGCCTCCCGGAAGGAGGTCGGGTCGTTTTTTAAATAGAGTTCTCGCTTGAGGTCAGGTCAGGTCAGGTTAGGTGCGGCGTGCGCAGAGGCGCGCCCTGTGCGGGCCGCCGCGGACCTCCTCGCCTTCTCACACGCGCTTTCTCGCAACCGCCACCTTCTCACACCCTCGCAAATTAGTCCGTCCATCTCTTGAATGGCCTTCCAACAGATCGAAACCCAGGCGGCGCCCATCGTAGCGCAATCTGCCCCCACCTGTGGTCACTGCACGACTGTAGCTTCTGGTATAAACGTTCCTTTCTGTCTGCTTGCGAACAAGAACCACCCTCACCCCAGGCAGGACCCCCCTGGATCGCCAGGTCGGCAGTGGGGGTCCTGACCGGGGTGGGGGTGGGTTGTGCTATCCTCAATTGTTCTTCCCTCAGGGAGGGGCGGCGAGAGAGCGCGAAGAGAATCGCGCTTCGCGAAGCGCCGAGCTGGTCGGATCGGCAAGCCACTGGTTGCGAGATCTT